GAATGGAATGCACAAAACGATCCCACAAACGGGTTTTTGTGCGTGGATGAATGCTGAAGGTCCTCGCCACGACACTCTTGGATTCGCCAGCTTGTAGTCGTCCCATTTTCTCATCCAAGGGCACCGTTGAGACGTCCCATTTTCTCATCCAATAATTGCAAGGGTCTTGGATGAATTTGCGAGATGCATTTGGGTCTTTTATAGTCATAGGTTGCACGCGAAATGCAATAATTGCGGCTTTTGGTTGTGTTCCATACCAGTCAAGCTCATCATGACAATCATGATCGATAAAACCATTCAAAATCGAATAAATGGAGATTAATAACTCAAAAAAGTTATGGATGGTTTTGAATGAATCTTGGTGGTTATGTTAGGTATGACACAAGGGCTGTCCGCGTACGGTTTGGTGAAAGTACATTAAAGTACAAGTACACAGTAGTACTTTAAAAATGTAATAGTGAAAGGAAATTGCTGTGCAAGGCGGAGGCATGTTCTCTTCTAGTTTCCAAATTAAGAAAAAAAAAGAATTCATGCTTGTGTTTGTATGACAAAACATGTCAAAGCTTGTATTTCAACAGCATATAGTGTTCTTGTTGGTTAATGATGGATTGATTGACTATGCAAGTTACTTAAAGGTCACATGCAACGTAAAACACAACTTTGCAGATTCTGATACCTTTCGGTATGGACTTACAGTAACAAATGATCAAAAATGCAAATTCAACTTATAAAGTTGAAAAATAACACGATGAAAACCCCCCCCGAAATCGGAGTTCAAACAATTCACTAAATTCACCCCAGATGGGGTGAAAAGTGGTTTCAACAGCTGTGCTGTGCTGCGCTGCCCAAATAGCGCATGCGCAAGGAATAGGTTCACGCGGCTTGAACCGGGATGCCAAAACACACAAAGAGCCCTGAGGGTATCTGCAAATGAACCAGCCAATGAAAGGCTTCGTTACACTTGAGTGCACACCCACCTGCTCTGACTGGGTTCGGTATCCTTGGTGCGTCGTTTCGAGGGTAATAAACCCAAGTTCAAAATATTGCTCTTTTGATTTGCGATTGTACGCTTATAATTTTGTTTATTTGTTTTTTTCATAATCAGCAATGTATATTATATGTCATGAATAAGTGATAATTGTGTTTTAATTATGTTTGTTTTTTTGGTTGCATATAACCTTAAACAATGTGAAAGTTAAAATAAATATACTAGTGCACATTGTATATTGCACTTGCATACCCCACTTGTAATATGTAGTTATCTCTTTACTGTGATATAATTTGTCACTCCTGTATTAATACATTCAGTTTGTATTGACTACACATTTGGCATTATGTCATTTGTCATTTAATAACCCAGACACGAGTGTCACTTGTGCACGACTATAACCTTACCTGGGTTCTATTATTACTACGTACATAAGTGTGTCATGGTAGTATATATTATGAAATGGGAGAATACATTAATTGAATAAATGGTTTCCATTAACATAGGCCAATACTGACAATGTTGGTGTGCGATGAAGGAAAGACAATATTTCATAAAATTATATGATTATGTCATATTTTATATCAACAAATTGAAATTAGAAGCATACTATGTGGTTATCTCTATGTCATACATTATAAGCTGCATTTTGATATGCTACATGACTATGTTGTGATAGGTTTATGAAAACATGTTTTTCTCGAAATGGTGTCGCAAGCAATTTTGGGAACTCATATTCCATCACCCCACAATGACACTTATAGCAAACAGAAAAATGGAACCTTGTTTTTCCTGAATCCATACACAACAGTGATTACAATTAGTATTGGTTCCAAAATTAACATGTAATTCCCACAGAATTACACAAGCCCCTGCACTAATGGTGTTGCAGGATCTCCTGGAGAAGGATGACCTCATCTGCCAGCTGAAGGACTCGTCCCCTTTCAGGACAAGGAGGACAGTCAGTGACGACCTGGAGGGCAGCTACCTGGACACTCAGAAGGTCTTCCCCCATTTCACTGTACCTGTACCAAATAGCTATAGTCACCCATGTTCTGTAGGACTATATGGCTAGACACCCATATCCTGTAGGAACATATATTTGTGGTCACCCATATCCTGTAGGAACATATATTTGTCGTCCCCCATGTCCTGCCGGAACATATATTTGTGGTCACCCATGTCCTAGGAACATATATTTGTGGTCACCCATGTCCACTCATATCCTGTAGGAACATATATTTGTGGTCACCCATGTCCTGTAGGAACATATATTTGTGGTCACCCATGTCCTGTAGGAACATATATTTGTGGTCACCCATGTCCTGTAGGAACATATATTTGTGGTCACCCATGTCCTGTAGGAACATATATTTGTGGTCACCCATATCCTGTAGGAACATATATTTGTAGGAGTCCCCCATGTCCCATATATTTGTGGTCACCCATGTCCTGCGGAACATATATTTGTGGTCACCCATGTTCTGTAGGACTATATGGCTAGACACTCATATCCTGTAGGAACATATATTTGTGGTCACCCATGTCCTGTGGGAACATATATTTGTGGTCACCCATGTCCTGTAGGAACATATATTTGTGGTCACCCATGTCCTGTGGGAACATATATTTGTGGTCACCCATGTCCTGTGGGAACATATATTTGTCGTCCCCCATGTCCTGCCGGAACATATATTTGTGGTCACCCATGTTGGCACTTATTGCAGTATTCAGGGTCTGTATGAGTGAACTGTGATATAGGTGACCAGTTTATGAAAGTGTAGCAAACCAATGATTGATATCAATACCCTGTTAGCCAGTTCACAGATGAGATCCATCAGGTCCTCCTTGTAGACAGCTCATCAGACTAAAATGGGATTATGGTGATGTCCACAGCGATCTGTTGAGAGTAATGAGAATCACTAGACTGCTTTCAAACATGAGTGTTTGAGATTGATGGAATGACTGACTGACTGACTGACTGAGTTTAGTTTTACGCCGCTTTTAGCAAAATTCCAGCAATATCACGGCGGGGGACACCAGAAATTACACTTGATTACTTAACATGTATTTGATAAAAGGGTTGTTACATCAACATCAAAATATTTAAAGTTATGTCAAAAGTCAGTGTACAAGTTTACAACTTGTTAATATAGGAATTGTCTGTAAATGCTCCTTATACATTTAGTAATGCATACTTAGTTGTATTTTCCAGTCTGTGGAGTCCCCTGTAGTTGATTGGGAGTACAAAGTGGAGGGAATGCAGAGGGAGATGGATGCTCTCCATCTCAAGCTACAGGAGAAGGAGAGGTAAGTTGCCATCTACCCCCTCTCCCTTGTGTCCCTGCTGTAGGAGATGTAAGCTGCCACTCATCTCCCTCTCCAATGTTTCCTTGCTGCAGGTGATGTAATTTACCTTCCATTTCCTCCCATGGTTCCTTGCTGGAGGTGATGTAATTTGCCTTCCATTTCCTTCTCCCTTGTTTCCTTGCAGCAGGTGATGTAATTTGCCTTCTATCTCCTCCCATGGTTCCTTGCTGCAGGTGATGTAATTTACCTTCCATTTCCTCCCTTGTTTCCTTGCTGGAGGTGATGTAATTTGCCTTCTATCTCCTCCCATGGTTCCTTGCTGCAGGTGATGTAATTTACCTTCCATTTCCTCCCTTGTTTCCTTGCTGGAGGTGATGTAATTTGCCTTCTATCTCCTCCCATGGTTCCTTGCTGCAGGTGATGTATTTCCTTTACCTTCCATTTCCTCCCTTGTTTCCCTTGCTGCAGGTGATGTAATTTGCCTTCTATCTCCTCCCATGGTTCCTTGCTGCAGGTGATGTAATTTGCCTTCCATTTCCTTCTCCCTTGTTTCCTTGCTGAACGGGATGTAATTTGCCTTCTATCTCCTCCCTTGTTTCCTTGCAGCAGGTGATGTAATTTGCCTTCTATCTCCTCCCATGGCTCCTTGCTGGAGGTGATGTAATTTACCTTCCATTTCCTTCTCCCTTGTTTCCTTGCAGCAGGTGATGTAATTTGCCTTCCATTTCCTCCCATGGTTCCTTGCGGCAGGTGATGTAATTTGCCTTCCATTTCCTCCCATGTTTCCTTGCAGCAGGTGATGTAAATTGCGTTCTATCTCCTCCCATGGTTCCTTGCTGCAGGTGATGTAATTTGCCTTCCATTTCCTTCTCCCATGTTTCCTTTCAGCAGGTGATGTAAATTGCCTCTCAGTCTCCATCTCGTATGTTTCCTTGCTGGAGGGGATATAATTTGCCTTCCATCTCCTCCCATGTTTCCTTGCTGGAGGTGATGTAAATTGCGTTCTATCTCCTCCCATGTTTCCTTGCTGCAGGTGATGTAATTTGCCTTCCATTTCCTTCTCCCATGTTTCCTTTCAGCAGGTGATGTAAATTGCCTCTCAGTCTCCATCTCGTATGTTTCCTTGCTGGAGGGGATATAATTTGCCTTCCATCTCCTCCCATGTTTCCTTGCTGGAGGGGATGTAATTTGCCTTCCATCTCCTAGGTACTTTCCCTGTGAATGACTTTAGCCATTAGGAAGAAACCCAAGAATTTCTTTGGGGCAGGATTAGCCTCTGCTGGTTCATGTAGTGACAGTACAGCTTGCTTAAAAAGAGTTCAGGCTAGTAGATTTAAAGCTTTTGGGATGGCCTGTTTGATGATATAATTAATATTTTGATTTCATCTTACCCTGTTAGGTAAATAATTACCTGCCAGTATGTTGAGTCATTTATTGTTAATTATATCCTTGGAGCCTGAAGAAATGCATCTTAATGCTAACATATTTAGACATCATGGATTCAAATGTAAAGTGAAAATTTTTTACACATTGGATGTACGTGTCATTTAAGGATAATCAGGGAATTTGGTGATCAATCTTTGGAGTTTGATGTGTCACGCCTCAACAAACATGAGCGGACCCATTCCACTCCATCGCGCGATGTTCGCAGCACAAGCAGCTCGCTTCGCAACACACGCCTCGACTCAGGTCCCGCTCAGCGTCTCCTGGCTCACGTGACAGTCAGCATCAATACTGCACCCTCAAGCGGAAGCTGGCTGACACAGAACATCTACTGGAACTCAAGGTGAGAGACAGAGTTACAGTTCACATGAAGGAGAGGGAAATGGTGTCTGTTTCAGACATGCCTACATTTTCTTATCATGCAGCAGTATGTATTTTTCAGTTGATATGCATTTGATGCCTTTGCATGTGCATTTTGTAGGTAATGTTGAAAGAAACTTGGTTAGGACTGATTGTATAAAGCTGTTATTCAATGTGATGCATGACCATATAGAGTCTGCTTATATCTTGTATAATTTTATAATTTTACTCTGGTATAGGTGGAGGTTTTAACTTCAAGCCACAATGTTTCTTCAAATGAATTATATCTGTGTGTTTAGTCTCATGAGCTGATGGTGCTGCGCAAGGCACATAGCCAGCGACTAGACAGACTGAGGAGTCTCCAGAACAGTTACCGACTCGTAAAGGAGCAGCTGAAGACACTAGAAGATGATACATTCAGGTTCGTGATGACGGAGTCCTCAAACTTTTTAAGACATTTTGTTGATACTGGATGGCCTAATGTTATGACAGATGGCATCCTATATCATTTAAACATTTCTTGCCTGTCGGTATTGGGAGCTGGTCATGCACCATTAGTTTATTTGTATTGATGGGGTTCCTATTTTGTCAGCTGAGTTACCCATGAATCTTTGAGCCACAACCTGCTGTGTCAGAAATCTAAGGCCACAACCTGCTGTGTCAGAAATCTAAGGCCACAACCTGCTGTGTCAGGAATCTAAGGCCACAACCTGCTGTGTCAGGAATCTAAGGCCACAACCTGCTGTGTCAGGAATCTAAGGCCACAACCTGCTGTGTCAGGAATCTAAGGCCACAACCTGCTGTGTCAGGAATCTAAGGCCACAACCTCCTGTGTCAGGAATCTAAGGAATCTAAGGCCACAAGGCCACCTGTGTCAGGAATCTAAGGCCACAACCTGCTGTGTCAGGAATCTAAGGCCACAACCTCCTGTGTCAGGAATCTAAGGCCACAACCTGCTGTGTCAGGAATCTAAGGCCACAACCTGCTGTGTCAGGAATCTAAGGCCACAACCTGCTGTGTCAGGAATCTAAGGCCACAACCTGCTGTGTCAGGAATCTAAGGCCACAACCTGCTGTGTCAGGAATCTAAGGCCACAACCTCCTGTGTCAGGAATCTAAGGCCACAACCTGCTGTGTCAGGAATCTAAGGCCACAACCTCCTGTGTCAGGAACCTAAGGCCACAACCTGCTGTGTCAGGAATCTAAGGCCACAACCTGCTGTGTCAGGAATCTAAGGCCACAACCTGCTGTGTCAGGAATCTAAGGCCACAACCTGCTGTGTCAGGAATCTAAGGCCACAACCTGCTGTGTCAGGAATCTAAGGCCACAACCTGCTGTGTCAGGAATCTAAGGCCACAACCTGCTGTGTCAGGAATCTAAGGCCACAACCTCCTGTGTCAGGAATCTAAGGCCACAACCTGCTGTGTCAGGAACCTCAGAATCTAAGGCCACAACCTGCTGTGTCAGGAACCTAAGGCCACAACCTGCTGTGTCAGGAATCTAAGGCCACAACCTGCTGTGTCAGGAATCTAAGGCCACAACCTGCTGTGTCAGGAATCTAAGGCCACAACCTCCTGTGTCAGGAATCTAAGGTCACAACCTCCTGTGTCAGGAATCTAAGGCCACAACCTGCTGTCGGCTGAACGACATCTGTCACAGCCAGGATTGGTCAGTCGTGGATTAGCAAACAGGGTGCATGATGTCTCTATTCACCACACCAATGCTCCTACGTATGAAATCATGTTAAGGCTTTATACTGCATTAATCTGCATTAAACTGTTTGAAAACTATCAAAATTAGTAAGTGATAAGTGTCATAACATGTTAAAAGAATTGTGTAGAAATGGTTTCAATATGATGACATTGATGAATTTAACTAATAACAATGTCCAGGTTTAACAGGTGTTTAAACAGATTAAGTTTAAGTTGCGGCCTATTTCCCAAGATTGAGATGATTTTAACAACAGTTATTAAAGATATATCACATTTACTACCTTCTCTTACAATTCGTGCTCTAACTGTCATGGAATCTCCTTGTAGTGGCAAGAAGAAGGTCAAGCCTCGTCGTTCTGACCCTCGGGAACTGCAGAAGGAAAACAGTGACCAAGTTTGGAATGAGCTCTCTCATTTCAAAAATGAAAATCGCAAACTTCTAACAGAAACGTGTGTTGATGAATTGATGCAGATACATAAATGATAAAAAGAATGTTTTTGCCATGTTACTTAATGTTAATATTCATGTAATGTGCCTTCCAGGCAGTTCTTGGTGATCTATTTGTGGTAATTAAGTTTCATCATGGTTTTCAAAATATGTAACTGTTAAATGATATTTATGTGAGGGATTTCAAGGATGTTAATGTAACCTAACAAATGATAATCCCACAGTGGACATAGGTAAATAATGATTTTTCACAAGATCTTTTACATTTGACCTTAGAATGGCTATGCAAGAAGAGTTGGACATGTTGAGAGTTCAAGCTGCTCAGGATGCTGCCCTCATCCATGAACTTAACTTAAAGCTGGAACAGGCTTATGAAGGTAATTCTCACAGCGTGACAACTACGTGACATGCCTGTTTCTGGGCATGCCTACCTCAATAGACCCTATTTCATTCCATTATACAACTTGAAAATATATCAATGATGTGAGGTTCAGGGTGTCCCAGTTTTGATTTAAATATTGTCTTTTAATTTTAATTAACACTGCTTGTGTCCTGTTGTACATCACTCCACACTGCTGTTGTCCTGTAAGTGTCCTCCATGATGCTGTTGTCCTATAAGTGTTCTCCATGCTGCTGTTGTCCTGTAAGTGTCCTCCATGATGCTGTTGTCCTATAAGTGTTCTCATGCTGTTGTCCTGTAAGTGTCCTCCATGTTGTCCTGTAAGTGTCCTCCATGCTGCTGTTGTCCTATAAGTGTCCTCCATGATGCCTCCATGCTGCTGTTGTCCTATAAGTGTCCTCCATGCTGCTGTTGTCCTGTAAGTGTCCTCCATGCTGCTGTTGTCCTGTAAGTGTCCTCCATGCTGCTGTTGTCCTGTAAGTGTCCTCCATGCTGCTGTTGTCCTATAACTGTCCTCCATGCTGTTGTTGTTTTGTAAGTGTCCTCCATGCTGCTGTTGTCCTGTAAGTGTCCTCCATGATGCTGTTGTCCTATAAGTGTCCTCCATGCTGTGACCGCCTCCGTGGTGTAGCGGTTAGAGCATCCGCCTGGAGAGCGTAAGGTAGTGGGTTGGATCCCGACCGCGTCATACCAAAAGATGTTAAAATATTGTACTTGTTGGTCCCTTCCTGGCTCTCGGCATTAATGGGTACAACAAGGACTGGTCGGCTCGGAGTCAGTATAATGTGTCTGAGTGGGGTATTCATGCTTCACTGCGGCATGGTATCTCAGTGGGCTAGCACTATAAAACCAGCTTCAGTCTGGGCTAGTACAAGCAGCCTCACATACACATACACACGCATGCACGTCGTCATATGAGCGAAATATTCTCAAGTACTACGTAAAACCCAATTTCACCTCACCTCACCTCTATGCTGTTGTTGTCCTGGAAGTGTCCTCCATGCTGTTGTTGTCCTGTAAGTGTCCTCAATGCTGCTGTTGTCCTGTAAGTGTCCTCCATGATGCTGTTGTCCTGTAAGTGTCCTCCATGATGCTGTTGTCCTGTAAGTGTCCTCCATGATGCTGTTGTCCTGTAAGTGTCTTCCATGATGCTGTTGTCCTGTAAGTGTCCTCCATGCAGTTGTTGTTTTGTAAGTGTCCTCCATGCTGCTGTTGTCCTGTAAGTGTCCTCCATGCTGCTGTTGTCCTGTAAGTGTCCTCCATGATGTTGTTTTGTAAGTGTCCTCCATGCTGCTGTTGTCCTGTAAGTGTCCTCCATGCTGCTGTTGTCCTGTAAGTGTCCACCATGATGTTTATATATGTAAGTGTCCTCCATGCTGCTGTTGTCCTGTAAGTGTCCTCCACACTGCTGTTGTCCTGTAAGTGTCTTCCATGCTGGGACTGCCTCCGTGGTGAAGTGGTTAGAGCGTCCGCCCGGAGAGCGGAAGGTCGCGGGTTCGATACCCGACCGCGTCAAACCAAAACACGTTAAAATATGGTACTTGTTGGTCCCTGCCTGGCGCTCGGCATTAATGGGTACAACAAGGACTGGTCAGCTCGGAGTCAGTATAATGTGTCTGAGTGGGGTATTCATGCTTCACTGCGGCATGGTATCTCAGTGGGCTAGCACTATAAAACCAGCTTCAGTCTGGGCTAGTACAAGCAGCCTCACATACACATACACACGCATGCACGTTGTCATATGAGCGAAATATTCTCAAAGCTCGACGTAAAACCCAATTTCACCTCACCTCACCTCACCTCCTCCATGCTACTGTTGTCCTGTAAGTGTCCTCCATGATGCTGTTGTCCTGTAAGTGTCCTCCATTCTGCTGTTGTCCTGTAAGTGTCCTCCATTCTGCTGTTGTCCTGTAAGTGTCCTCCTGCTGTTGTCCTGTAAGTGTCCTCCATGATGCTGTTGTCCTGTAAGTGTCCTCCATTCTGCTGTTGTCCTGTAAGTGTCCTCCATGATGTTTTTGTCCATGTAAGTGAACTTGATGTAAGTGTTGTTCTCAATGCTGATGTTTTGTTTCACAGATGTGGACTTCCAGGTGAAGAAAAGGGAGTATGAACATAAAACAAAGACAGACATGTCATCAGAGGTGACAGTGCTCAAGTCTTCTGTGAGTTGGAATACCCCCTTCCCCTTAGCTGCCACTGTAACAATCAGTCACTTCCAAAATCATCGGTGTGACATCTGCACATTGTTACTGTTGACGTCCTACCATCACTTCCTTGATATTGCAAATGCTTTTTCTATGAAATAGCATGTATACACTAGTTCGATGATGGCAGTAGGGAAGCATGCAAATATCACAGTATAACACATCAAAATATCAGAGTGAATTTCCTTGCATCATCATTGTAGTCATCAGCCTAGTGAGAAACATTTGTTATATTTGGAACTACACTTTCTTAGCAAAGTACAGTTTGCAGGCACCTTATAGTCAGCACACAACAGTGTTGCATTTGACCACACTGTGTATTCATAGCCTAGTGAGGATTTATGCTTCATTCAGGGGCTTTGATATTTGTAGGTACAAAATAGAGATGCTATTTTGGAGAAGTTGGAGAGACGGTTACAGGAAATGACTGGGGAGAGGGACATGCTACTAGAGGAGAAGAGGTAGGTGGTCTTACAGGGACATGGGAGACATAGGTACTGGATGTGACCAGAGGGATATGCTAACAGTGGAGAAGAGGTAGGTGGTCTTACAGGGACATGGGAGACATAGGTACTGGATGTGACCAGAGGGATATGCTAACAGTGGAGAAGAGGTAGGTGGTCTTACAGGGACATGGGAGACATAGGTACTGGATGTGACCAGAGGGATATGCTAACAGTGGAGAAGAGGTAGGTGGTCTTACAGGGACATGGGAGACATAGGTACTGGATGTGACCAGAGGGATATGCTAACAGTGGAGAAGAGGTAGGTGGTCTTACAGGGACATGGGAGACATAGGTACTGGATGTGACCAGAGGGATATGCTAACAGTGGAGAAGAGGTAGGTTGTCTTACAGGGATGTTGGAGACATAGGTACTGGATGTGACCAGAGGGATATGCTAACAGTGGAGAAGAGGTAGGTGGTCTTACGGGGATGTTGGAGACATAGGTACTGGATGTGACCAGAGGGATATGCTACTAGAGGAGAAGAGGTAGGTGGTCTTACAGGGACATGGGAGACATAGGTACTGGATGTGACCAGAGGGATATGCTACTAGAGGAGAAGAGGTAGGTGGTCTTATAGGGATGTTGGAGACATAGGTACTGGATGTGACCAGAGGGACATGCTACTAGAGGAGAAGAGGTAGGTGGTCTTATAGGGATGTTGGAGACATAGGTACTGGATGTGACTAGAGTGACATGCTACTAGAGGAGAAGAAGTAGGTGGTCTTACAGGGATGTTGGAGACATAGGTACTGGATGTGACCAGAGGGATATGCTAACAGTGGAGAAGAGGTAGGTGGTCTTACAGGGACATGGGAGACATAGGTACTGGATGTGACCAGAGGGATATGCTAACAGTGGAAAAGAGGTAGGTGGTCTTACAGGGACATGGGAGACATAGGTACTGGATGTGACCAGAGGGATATGCTAGACATAGAGGAGAAGCTAACAGGTAGGTGGTCTTACAGGGACATAGGAGACATAGGTACTGGATGTGACCAGAGGGATATGCTAACAGTGGAGAAGAGGTAGGTGGTCTTACAGGGACATGGGAGACATAGATACTGGATGTGACCAGAGGGATATGCTAACAGTGGAGAAGAGGTAGGTGGTCTTACAGGGACATGGGAGACATAGGTACTGGATGTGACCAGACAGATATGCTAACAGTGGAGTAGAGGTAGGTGGTCTTACAGGGACATGGGAGACATAGGTACTGGATGTGACCAGAGGGATATGCTAACAGTGGAGAAGAGGTAGGTGGTCTTACAGGGACATGGGAGACATAGGTACTGGATGTGACCAGACGGATATGCTACTAGAGGAGAAGAGGTAGGTGGTCTTACAGGGATGTTGGAGAAAGGGTTGTTCATTAGTAACTGAGGCAATGTGATGTCATACTCATGTTAACATTTGGAGTGAAAGCATAAACCATTGAAACAAGACTTCAGAAATATTCTTTTATATGGTTAATATGTCATGAGAATGCATTATACTTGACACCTTAAAATGTAAAAACTCAGATTGTCAGTGATGAATCATATTAGTCCAGCACAGGGTATACTCTGTAAGTTGTTGCATTGGTTTTTTTGTTGACCATGAAATCTTTGCATTACGCATGATTTTTTTGTTTTGAAGACAGTTAAAGGGTACTGTGCTTAAGATCAACCAGGAGTCCTCCCAGCAGAGAATTGACATTGCCAACTTGAAGAAGGACATACATAGGTATGTTTCATATGCTGTGCTTAGCGAGGCATACCATGCCAGACAGCAATTGTTTGTTCAACAGTTAGCAACTGCATAATTCCTTCAAACATCCACCCTCTGTTACATCAGAGCCAATATTCATCTACTTTGCCTAACATCAGACGTCCTTTTCATTGACTGCCATCCATAGCTGTTGTTAGCAAACTGTTCAGTGTTGTTCCACATGATGCAGAACACTGCCTTTTGTAGCTATGGCAACAGTAGTTCCATACCTATCACTCTCCACACCCTCTTACACACTAGGGACTAGGAGGTGACAATATATTTGGAAGTTGTTCACACCGTACATGATGTTTACTACTGGAATTTATGCCATGAAGTTAGTACAGAATTTATAATGAATGTGCTGCTGTGTATGTTGGCAGCCATTACTGTGTGCTGTGTGCATGATCCCACCAAACTCTATGATGGCTATGTAATTGAGGATATTTGAATAATTATCAATAATTACTTTATATAACTCTCAATAAAAATTCTACTTCCTTTACATCTGAGGAAGTGGGAAGGATTACTTCTAGTCTATCTATGTCTTGGAGAACAAGTGATTCGAAAGAAGTGACCTTTTCCGAAAGGCATACTGTTGGATGGCTGATAGTGAAGACGTCTTTTAAAAAAGATTTATTTAGTGTTTTTGGCCAAATAATAATAAAGGTGTATTAGAGTATTATATACTAGTATTATGCAAATGATAACTATAGTTTGATATTTAAATAATGTACTTATCTTCAAGGCTTGAGCGAGAGGTTGAGGAGTCCAGCCAGCTCCAGACCAGTCGGGAGGCATCTGTGCCCCTCTCTGACAGCTGCTCTGAGTCCCGATCAAACACCAGGCCAACACCCACATTACCAGTTTCCCGCATACGCAGACGTGGCAGGATAACCAAGAAGGTTTGTAACCAATGCTGGGACAGTTCATTTGCATCAGTGGACAGTGAATGTATTATTTTCACAAAAACATTCTACAGGTGTGAGACAGTTATTGCACAAAATGTGGAAGGGACATTATGTTCTTATTGCACCCCCAAACATATTAAAGAAATGATAATACATTTTAACAACACACATAATTATCAACATAACAATAGTACATACCAGTACCAGTTTTGAAAACTAACAGGTTTTACTCTCGTGGTTACTGATTGTGAGCCCACTATGTATTGTATCAAAACCAAGTAAACAACACAATATGTTGATGATCATTTAAAGAGTAATAAGATTATGAATCTCTTACACATTATATTCTATGGTAAATAGGTACCAAGTAATATGATGCATATAATATACTTATCTTGCAATAGAAGTAATCAATGTAATTATTGCTGACAAATCTAATGTGATACAAATGTGAAATAGACATGTACACAAAAATGGTATGTCTAACCTGTGGAGGAGGACCACAATGCTGCAGCCAACCAGAATATTATCTCAATAAAAAGTATATTTTTGTAAAATGAGTAGTACAGCAGTACATTAAAACATAGTATACTCCATAAAAACCTTGCACTCTTTTCTTATGCACACAAGAAGCATTAGCCTACCATTAGTTTGCCACATTTACCTTATGGATGAGATTTAGGTAAAACTTTACACTTTTAGTTTGCTTTAATGTCCTGTAACATGTGAATGGAATAACAAATAGTATAGATACATACAAACATTGAAAACTTACCTGATTTGAATGTTTTGCTGGGAACATGTCTGAACAATGAGTGTTTGCAGACTGAGCACCAGCTGTTAGACAAAGCTAATTTAGGGTTAGCTTGGCCAATCAGTTGAGCATGTCATGGCTTGGGCTGGTTAAAGGCTTGATGGACACGTAAACTACTAATGATCCCAACAACTAATTATGCGAACAGAATAGGAGACACTGAAAAAGAATGATAAAATAAATACAGTCGAATCCCATTGCCTCGGACCCCATATATCCGGAAACCCCGCCTTCTGGATGATTTTTTAGGCTAAACGAAATTTGCCTTCAGTAATTGTACTCGCTTAGCCGGACCCGGACGGAGAAGTTTCAAACCATTATCATAGATTTCCATTGAAAAATGATCCAGTTATCCAGACGGAAAGATCTGGGCACATGTGCATGTGTACATGTATGTTTCACGTCAGTATTGTTTACCAGACGACTAAGTGTATTCATTGTTAATATCTCGGTAGGCCTTTGATGTGAATTGATTACTTACCCATCAAAACACTAGGGATGCGTGTCACTTCAGTTGTGGCAGGTGTGAGAACATCACATCAGTAACAAAAACACATGTTAATTAGGATTAGGATTAAGCTGAGCTGCGGAATTTGATGCAGCAGTTACCACAAAGTGATGGCGACGAAGTCCTAACTGCTGAACAGTACATTGATGAAGATACTGTCGTGGAAACCGGCCATGAGCTAACTGTTGAATAAATCATCAACATAGTGCAGCCACCGACAGACGACCAGTCAGATGATGATGAACAACAAGCAGTTGTTACACCAACAGTCTGTTGATCTTCTATCAATGTACCGGTGATGAAGATTCAGTGAATTTATTGATGGACTTGGTGAAGAGATTTGAAGAAATAAAACCAAGGAAGCAGACATGACAGACTTTTTAAGGAAATAATGTGCTACATGTGATATCAAGTCAAGTAAGATGTGCAATGTAAAATGTATAACGTGAATCAAAGTGCCGAAAGAAAGTTTATTGGTATCCATTTATGTGTTATGATTATATGTTTTTGACTATTGACTTATAAAAAATATTGATATACATACATGAATAAATTTTGAATATACCTTGTCAATGCGTTTTGCTTGTTTGATTCAGTTAACCGGACGCCTTGCTATTCGGACGATTCCCAAGTGTAACCAAAATGTCCGGATAAACAGGGGTTCGACTGTATGTATAACAGTTACATCTGTCTCATCCTCATCAGTGCTATCTACATGAACCCAAAGTTTATGCCGGCACTGTTGGCGCTCTTGTAGAAATGTTCATATCCTTTTCAGTATCAAGTAAGTTTGAACAAGAGCATTGAGAAGATGAAGGCCTTGTTCTCTGACTTCAATGAGGAGGGATGGGAGGAAATATCAGACAATCTTACCACGTAAGCAACAATTTTATTTCTTTTTCTATTTCCAGTCTTTTACAATTTTGACAACAACTTTCTTGATTCATTAATCATTCCAGTGTTTGATACAGGGGAGACTACTCATGGAATCCTAAAGAAACAGAAACATAAACATGTGAATCCGTCATAACAAACAAATGGTTTGTTTTTGTGACTGTTATTTGATATTTTTTGCGAACTTTATAAATTTACAGAAAATACAGATGTACATAGATTAAGGCATTTTTGTTTACTGATTTATAGGTACTTTCATTATTTGTTCTCATGATATTTGTTTGTTTACGTTCTATATAAGTTATATGTTGTCATGCTATACTATGTATATGTTGTGTAGTGAGGAAGACACCCTGACAGAGAATGATACTCTTGGTCGAGCCATTGTGACACGCTCACGGACAGATATAGTCACGTCAGAGACATCGGACAATGGGTCAAGGAGGACTGTGGGCAAGGTGGGTAAAGCAGTATCAAGGGGCACATCAGAGTCATCAGACAGTGGGTCAAGGAGAACTGTCCGTAGTGTGGGCAAGGTGGGTACAGCAGTATCAGGGGTCACATCACAGTCATCAGACAATTGGTCAAGGAGAACTGTGGGCAAGGTGGGTACAGCAGTATCAGGGGTCACATCAGAGTCATCAGACAATGGGTCAAGGAGGACTGTGGGCAAGGTGGGTACAGCAGTGTCAGGAGTGACATCAGAGTCATCAGACAATGGGTCAAGGAGAACTGTGGGTAAGGTGGGTACAGCAGTATCAGGGGTCACATCAGAGTCATCAGACAATGGGTCAAGGAGAACTGTGGGCAAGGTGGGTACAGCAGTATCAGGGGTCACATGTGAGACAACAGACAATGGGTCACGGAGAACTGTGGGCAAGGTGGGTACAGCAGTATAAAATGTCACATCAGAGTCATCAGACAATGGGTCAAGGAGAACTGTGGGCAAGGTGGGTACAGCAGTATAAAATGTCACATCAGAGACATCAGACAATGGGTCAAGGAGAACTGTGGGCAAGGTGGGAACAGCAGTATCAGGGGTCACATGTGAAACATCAGACAATAGGTCGAGAAGGACTGTCCGTAGTGTGGGCAAGGTGGGTACAGCAGTATCGGGGGTCACATGTGAGACAACAGACAATAGGTATCAAGGTGGGTCACATGAGACAACATCAGACAATGGGTCAAGGAGAACTGTGGGCAAGGTGGGTACAGCAGTATCAGGGGTCACATCAGAGTCATCAGACAATGGGTCAGACAATGGGTCAAGGGAGAACTGTGGGCAAGGTGGGTACAGCAGTATCAGGGGTCACATGTGAGACAACAGACAATGGGTCAAGGAGAACTGTGGGCAAGGTGGGTACAGCAGTATCAGGGGTCACATGTGAGACAACAGACAATGGGTCCAGGAGAACTGTGGGCAAGGTGGGTACAGCAGTATAAAATGACACATCAGAGACATCAGACAATGGGTCAAGGAGAACTGTGGGCAAGGTGGGTACAGCAGTATCAGGGGTCACATGTGAGACATCAGACAATGGGTCAAGGAGAACTGTGGGCAAGGTGGGTACAGCAGTATCAGGGGTCACATCAGAGTCATCAGACAATGGGTCAAGGAGAACTGTGGGCAAGGTGGGTACAGCAGTATCAGGGGTCACATGTGAGACAACAGACAATGGGTCAAGGAGAACTGTGGGCAAGGTGGGTACAGCAGTATCAGGGGTCACATCAGAGTCATCAGACAATGGGTCAAGGAGAACTGTGGGCAAGGTGGGTACAGCAGTATCAGGGGTCACATCAGAGTCATCAGACAATGGGTCAAGGAGAACTGTGGGCAAGGTGGGTACAGCAGTATCAGGGGTCACATCAGAGTCATCAGACAATGGGTCAAGGAGGACTGTGGGCAAGGTGGGTACAGCAGTATCAGGGTCACATGTGAGACAACAGACAATGGGTCAAGGAGAACTGTGGGCAAGGTGGGTACAGCAGTATAAAATGTCACATCAGAGTCATCAGACAATAGGTCGAGAAGGACTGTCCGTAGTGTGGGCAAGGTGGGTACAGCAGTATCAGGTGTCACATCAGAGTCATCAGACAATGGGTCAAGGAGAACTGTGGGCAAGGTGGGTACAGCAGTATTAGGGGTCACATCAGAGTCATCAGACAATGGGTCAAGGAGAACTGTGGGCAAGGTGGGTACAGCAGTATAAAATGTCACATCAGAGTCATCAGACAATAGGTCGAAAAGGACTGTCCGTAGTGTGGGCAAGGTGGGTACAGCAATATCAGGTGTCACATCAGAGTCATCAGACAATGGGTCAAGGAGAACTGTGGGCAAGGTGGGTACAGCAGTATCAGGGGTCACATCAGAGTCATCAGACAATGGGTCAAGGAGAACTGTGGGCAAGGTGGGTACAGCAGTATCAAATGTCACATCAGAGTCATCAGACAATGGGTCAAGGAGAACTGTGGGCAAGGTGGGTACAGCAGTATCAGGTGTCACATCAGAGTCATCAGACAATGGGTCAAGGAGAACTGTGGGCAAGGTGGGTACAGCAGTATCAGGAATGACATCAGAGTCATCAGACAATGGGTCAAGGAGAACTGTGGGCAAGGTGGGTACAGCAGTAACAGGTGGGTACACATCAGAGACACATCAGACAATGGGTCAAGGAGAACTGTGGGCAAGGTGGGTACAGCAGCAGTAGATCAGACAATGGGTCACATCAGTACAGACATCATCAGACAATGGGTCAAGGAGAACTGTGGGGCAAGGTGGGTACAGCAGTATCAGGGGTCACATCAGAGTCATCAGACAATGGGTCAAGGAGAACTGTGGGCAAGGTGGGTACAGCAGTATAAGGGGTCACATCAGAGTCATCAGACAATGGGTCAAGGAGGACTGTGGGCAAGGTGGGGAGAGCAGTATCAGGTGTCACATGTGAGACAACAGACAATGGGTCAAGGAGAACTGTGGGCAAGGTGGGTACAGCAGTATAAAATGTCACATCAGAGTCATCAGACAATGGGTCAAGGAGAACTGTGGGCAAGGTGGGTACAGCAGTATCAGGTGTCACATCAGAGTCATCAGACAATGGGTCAAGGAGAACTGTGGGCAAGGTGGGTACAGCAGTATCGGGGGTCACATCAGAGTCATCAGACAATGGGTCAAGGAGAACTGTGGGCAAGGTGGGTACAGGGTATCAAAGTCACATCAGAGACATCAGACAATAGAGGTCAAGGAGAACTGTGGGCAAGGTGGGTACAGCAGTACAGGGGTCACATGTGAGTCATCAGACAATGGGTCAAAAGGAGGAACTGTGGGCAAGGTGGGTACAGCAGTATCAGATGTCACATCAGAGTCATCAGACAATGGGTCAAGGAGAACTGTGGGCAAGGTGGGTACAGCAGTATCGAATGTCACATCAGAGTCATCAGACAATGGGTCAAGGAGGACTGTGGGCAAGGTGGGGAGAGCAGTATCAGGTGTCACATGTGAGACAACAGACAATGGGTCAAGGAGAACTGTGGGCAAGGTGGGTACAGCAGTATAAAATGTCACATCAGAGTCATCAGACAATGGGTCAAGGAGAACTGTGGGCAAGGTGGGTACAGCAGTATCGGGGGTCACATCAGAGTCATCAGACAATGGGTCAAGGAGAACTGTGGGCAAGGTGGGTACAGCAGTATCAGGTGTCACATCAGAGTCATCAGACAATGGGTCAAGGAGAACTGTGGGCAAGGTGGGTACAGCAGTATCAGGGGGTCACATCAGAGACATCAGACAATGGGTCAAGGAGAACTGTGGGCAAGGTGGGTACAGCAGTATCAGGGGTCACATCAGAGTCAATCAGACAATGGGTCATCCAGACAATGGGTCAAGGAGAACTGTGGGCAAAGGTGGGTACAGCAGTATAAGCTGAGTCATCAGACAATTATCAAGGAGAACTGTCACAAATCAGAGTACATCAGACAATGAGAACTGTAGGCAGACAACGACAGCAGTAAGGAGAACTGTCCAGTGAGTCCACAGACAATGGGCCAAAGAGAGGTACAAGGTGGGTACAGCAGTCAGGGGTCACATCAGAGTCATCAGACAATGGGTCAAGGAGAACTGTGGGCAAGGTGGGTACAGCAGTATCAGGGGTCACATCAGAGACATCAGACAATGGGTCAAGGAGAACTGTGGCAAGGAGGGACTACATGTGAGGACATCAAGTCAAGGTGGGTAGAAAAGGAACTGTGGGCAAAGGTGGGTACAGTATCAGGTGTCACATGTGAGACAACAGACAATGGGTCAAGGAGAACTGTGGGCAAGGTGGGTACAGCAGTATAAAATGTCACATCAGAGCTCATCAGACAATGGGTCAAGGAGAACTGTGGGCAAGGTGGGTACAGCAGTATCACAAATCACATCAGAGTCAACGGACAATGGGTCAAGGAGAACTGTGGGCAACCAGAGTCATCACACACATGTATGACAAGGGTCACAGGTCACGGAACGACATCAGACAACACTGGGTCAAGGAGGACTGGGGCAAGGTGGGGAAGCAGTATCAGGCAGGTCACATGTGAGACAACAGACAATAGGTCAAGGAGAACAGACATGGCCACACATGGCCGGCAGTGAGACAACAGACAATGGGTCAAGGAGAAACAGGTATAAAATGTCAGACAGGAATAAGGAAGACAGACCACTGTGGACAACGGGTGGACAACCAGGGTCAAACTGGTGGGTCATACAGCAATATGTAAATGGTCACATCAGAGTCATCAGACAATGGTCAAGGAAGTATCGTAAGGTGTGGGCAAAGGTGGAGACAGACAGTATCGAGGGTCACATCAGAGTCATCAGACAATGGGTCAAGGAGGACTGTGGGCAAGGTGTACAGTACAGCACAGGTATCCACAATGGTCAACATGTGGAGACACACAGACAACAATGGGCCGATGGAGGAGTCAAGAACTGTGGAGCAAGGTGGGTACAAGCAGGTATAAAATGTCACATCATGGGTCATGGAGACAATGGGTCAAGACAACTGTGTCAAGGCAAGGTGGGTTACAGCAATATAAGGAGACACATCACATGTGAGAACAACAGACAACACATGTGGAACCAGGTGGGACAACAATGCATCAGAGTCACGAACATGGGTCGAGAAGTGGACACAGCATGTGGTCACATGTGACACACAGACCAGGAGAACTGTGGACAATGGTGGGTACAGACTGTGTCAGGGGTCACATCAGAGTCTCATCAGGACAATGGGTCAAGGAGAACTGTGGGCAAAGGTGGGTACAGCAGTATGAAAGTCACATGTGAGCATCAGACAATGGGTCAAGGAGAACTGTGGGCACCAGGTGGGTACAGCAGTATAAAGATGTCACATCAGAGGTCATCAGACAAGAGTCAAGGAGAACTGTGGGCAAGGTGGGTACAGCAGTATCAGGGATCACA